CTGGAATCGGGCAGTGAGTCCAGGCATCCGGAGTAGGTCCAGCAGAGGTAGTCAGTCTGAGCTCTGAGGGGTAAGTCTTCGGCTGGAATCTAGCTGGAACTGGCCCGAGTGTATTTTGCTATCTGGGTGGCTAGGCGTACGTGTATCAGCAAACTAATAAAGCCCGAGAAAAGCCCTGACCTTAGCGAATAAACAGTGTTCCACCAGGATCATGTATGTCAGAAACTGTACTCTGCTGAACTCATTTTGTCATAGTAAAATAACACAGAAATTGAATAATAACACTTCAGTCTTCTGCCGAAGCTCAGACGCGCTGCTTTGAGAAACTGTCAATCACAGCTGTCAATCACGATGACACGCCCAGCATTAAATTACTGCTAACTGTTTACAAAAAATGAAGATCTGCACCTATTTCAGCACAATAACCAGTGCCTTAATCGACCAGAACCATCTTTCGGGACATTTTATTGCAAGTGTAATTAATTTTTTTATTTGGGCTCAAGTCTCCTTCATTAACACGGAGGAGGCGGGCTTTATGACTTGTACTGCAGCCAGCCCCCAGGAGGCGATTTAACGGCCGAGACCTTCACTCAAACGCAGGCTTGCGGCACACTTGGTTGGGAACCACTGCTCTATGGGATATGATGAAAAAGTGTGATGCCTCTTTGAAAATGTTTTTAAAATCAGGATCAAATACTGATCGATTAATTTACACAAGTTTAAAAAACAAAGTAATATCTGAAATTAGAAAGGCTAAAGCAAACTTCTTTTTAAAAAGGAAATAGTAAAATGCTATGGAAAACTGTTAACAAATTAATTGGAAAAGAAAAGTCGAAAGTAGAGGATACACAGCATAAAATAAATGGACAAATTATTTAGGATTCTGTAGAAATTGCAACTAATTTTAATGGATATTTCCTAAACTGTTCGAAACTTGCTGATCATTTTCCAGTTGTTCATCCATGTTCTAGCCTACAAGGCAGCCAATAGTCTTTTTCTCTGAGTCCCACAGATGAAATAAATGTTAGAAAAAATTACTTCCACATTAAACAACAGTAAAGTAAAAGATGTTTATGGCTTTGATACTGCCTTTTTAAAAAGTTATAAAGATATTTTAGGGTCTCCTCTCACAAACATGATAAATAAATCCATAAATGACAGTACTTTTCCCGTTGCTTTAAAATCTGCAAGAATAACACCAATATATAAATCAGGTGACCAAGCAGTTATCAGCCTATAAGCATCCTACCAGTTGTAGCAGAGCAACTTATGGCTCATTTAGATAGAAATTCTCTCTTACATCCTGTGCAGTTTGGTTTTAGAAAAAAACATTCAACTGAGACAGCTTGCTGTTACTTTTTAGAAACGATAAAGACAAATTTAGATAAGGGGGGGGGGGCAGTTTTTATTGATTTACGTAAGGCATTTGATACTGTTAACCATGATATTTTAATTAACAAAATAAACAATTACGATCTCTCAAAGCAAACACTAAATTTAATAAAATCGTACTTAAGTGATCGAAGTCAATGTGTTCAGGTTAACAATTTTAAATCTACCTTTAAACCAATTAAATTAGGAGTACCTCAGGGATCTATTTTAGGATCTTTACTTTTTAGCATTTATATAAATGATCTACCAGCTATATGCACTGATGCTGATTTATTAATGTTCGCTGATGATGCTGTGCTTTACACTTATGGAAAAAATCCAACAGAAGTTGCTACTAAATTAACAAATGAAATGCAAAATGTTTTTAAATGGCTGCAAAATTCAAATCTTAGGCCATGTCTACACTAACCCGGATAAATTTGAAAACGGAGTTTTCCTCTAAAAACGCTTCACGTCCACACAGTCGTTTTTATTCGTTTTCCAAAACTTTGTCATCCACACTGAAACGGCTACAAATGCTTTCACCCTGTAGTGCGCATGCGTGAAACGTAAGACTCTTCGGCACGCGTCTTTTCGGCCTGACGTTTATTTTCTTTCTGGCTCTTTGAAACGTTGCGGCAAAATGTCAAGGAAAAGCACAGAGTTTTTTAAATGGACTGACAATGAAGTGGAGTTGCTGCATCGAGTAACACATGAATACAAAGTTGCAAAAGAGTGTGAAAATGTAGACCGGGAGACGTGCCAAAACAAATACGCCGATATACTGGACCGCTTTAAAAAACAGTATCCTGCTGATGACGCTGCTTACCCTCACAGTAAGGACAACATCTCTAAACTCATAATCACAACGAAATTAAAGTAAACGAATTAGTAACATGACTGAGTGTCACATGACAAAAAAACACGTCATCGTTTTCGAAAGACTCCGTTTTCACAGTCTACACTACGACACCAAAACTGCGTTTTCAAATTTATCCACTTTAGAGAGCGTTTTCAAAAAGATACGTTTTGTTTCCTAAAAACGCGTCTCAGTGTGGTCGGAAGGGCAAAACGGAGACAAAAATATGCGTTTTCAAATGAAAACGCACTAGTGTGGACATGGCCTTACCTTATATGTTTTAGAAATTTTTAATAATGGGCAAAGTATTAAAAATGTCACTGAATTCAAATATTTAGGCATCATGTTGGACTCAAACCTTAATTTTAAAACTCATTAAAAAACTTGCTACCACACTGAGATTTTAATCTAAGAAATGTTAAACATATCAGAGATTCTCTGACGTATGAGGCCTCTGGTATGTATTTAAATACTATGATTGTTCCACATTTGTTGTACTGAATAACGAGCTGGTCTCAGGCATGTAAACCATCTTTAACACCGTTGGAATCATTATACAAGAGAGCACTTAAAATTCATGATAAAAAAACCTTGGTTGTACCATCACTGCAATACCTTAAAAAACATAGTCTCTTAAGTTTTGATAATTTGATTAAATATTCCAGTTTTTGTTTTGTTTTTAAAATGATTCACAATCTTTCTGCTCCATCGTTAAAAAAATTTTTAAACACCAAATCAGAGAAAACATCGTGAGTGATGCGTTCTATAGTAAGAGGGGAATGTATTATCCCTAGACGCAAGACCTCTTTTGGTCAATCCTCTTTTATTCATAAAGCCTCAAATCTTTGGAATTCTCTCCCGACAGAAATAATCACATGTACAAATTACAAGATGTTTACACGCCTGACTAGGAGGTGGTTTTTGTCAAATTCAATTTGTACACCCTGAGTGAGATGTTTTTGAGTTGTCTGAATGTTTTAAAAGTGACTTTTTAATTGGATTTTATTGTTTTAATTTGAACCTGTCCAGGGACTGCAGGTGGAAATTAGCAATCCTGCTACAACCTGGCACAATGCATCTTTCCTCTCTGAGGTTAATGTAATCTCTTTGCATTGTCCCTGTTAAATAAATAAATTCATTCACATAAAAGCCAAATTACATGACTGCTAAATGGACAAGTGCTATTTTTTCATGAGAGTGTATGCTTAAAAACTATCCTACAGCACTGTCTGCTGTTAAAAACTAGCCTACAGCGCCGTCTGAAGTTACCATCTGCTGTTAAAAACTAGCATTCATTCTCTTTTCGGCTTAAGGCTGATTTATACTTCTGCGTCAAACGCCGGCGTATGCTACGGCGCTGACGCATAGCCCTTCGCCGTGGCCATCGCTGACGTGCACCTCTCAAAAAATGTAACTACACGTCGCAACGACGCGTAGCGTAAGCTCTGTGATTGGTCGGCTTGGTATCGCTGACGAGTCTGGGCGGGACCGAGAGCCGCGCGAATGGCGCGAGCGATTGTTTACAAGTGTGGAGTACCGTGAAGGAGCTCCGGATGGAAAGTTTTGTTTTGTGTTTACCTCATAGTTAAAGTTGTTGCACGTCCGCCGGTTCCTGCCTCAAAATAAGCGAGTTTGAGCCACTTGTACATCCCGGAAGTGTTCAGGAAAAGCAAAACAACAGCGAAGAAACTTGACACAAAGGAACATTTACACCTCACTGCCAACTAGTGTTTCGGAAGTGTTAATGCAGACCAACAGAGACAGCACGCAGAAGTATAAATGCACAGCCACACGCATTGCATGCGCCGTGGGTTACACCGGTCACCTGACGCAGAAGTATAAATCAGGCTTTAGTCCCTTTATTAATCTGGGGTCGCCACAGCGGAATGAATCGCCAACTTATCCAGCATATGTTTTACGCAGCGTATGCCCTTCCAGCTGCAACCCATTACTGGGAAACATCCATACATTCATTCACACACACATACGCTATAAACAATTTAGCCTACCCAATTCACCTGTACCGCATGTCTTTGGACTGTGGGGGAAACCGGAGCACCTGGAGGAAACTCACGCGAACGCAGGGAAAACATGCAAACTCAACACAGAAACGCCAACTGAGCCGAGCCTCAAACAATCAATTAAAGAGAAAATTAAGTATTTTGATCAATTTTCTAAATGTCAATTTATGGAATGATTTTCCCACCACAGCTCTGATCATGTGTTGGACAATGTCTTTGTTTAGTTCCTTGAAGTAGTCTGTATACATCAAATGGTCTAGACCAGTGGTCTCAAAGTCAATTGCTGGAGGGCCGCAGCTCTACATAGTTAAGCTCCAACCACTTCCAACTGACACCTGCTTAATAGTCTACAGTAGTCTTGAACACCTCGATTATTTGGATCAGCAGTGTATGATTAGGGTTGGAGCAAAACAGTGCAGAGCTGGAGCCCTCCAGGAATCATGTTGGGTGTTTAAACTCGGTCCTGGAGGGCCGGTGTCCTGAAGAGTTTATCTTCAACCTTAATCAAACACACCTGAAGTAGCTAATCAAGTTCTTACTAGATATATTAGAAACTGGCAGGCGTGTTGAAGGAAGTTGGAGCTAAACTCTGCAGGATACGGCCCTCCAGGACCGAGTTTGGACACCCCTGATCTAGACTAATTGTAAGATGTACCATGGATGGTTTTGATGTCTAAATACTTTCATGTTTTTTATGGTTTTTGTGACTTTGAACTGAGGATAACTTTCGTGTTATTTTTTCACTTTAGACCTGTTGGTGCTTAAAGAAGAGACTCACGAACCCAATCAATTGGAAGAGAAAGATCAGTGTGGGAAACACCAAGATCTAATGACTGATAGAAAATCAATGCGGACTAGAAAGACTTCATCATACCAAAGAGTTCAGAAAACCAAAAGTAACCGTTATTTCACTTGCCATCAGTGTGGGGAGAGTTTCTGTCAACAAAAAGACCTTAAAGTCCACATGAGAGCTCACACTGGAGAGAAACCGTTCGTCTGTCAACAGTGTGACAAGAGTTTTGGTCGAAAACAAAAACTTGAAGTGCACATGAGAATTCACACGGGAGTGAAGCCATTCGCCTGCAACCAATGTGGGAAGAGTTTCACTCAAAAAGGAAGTCTTGAAGTCCACATGAGAATCCACACCGGAGAGAAACCGTACAAATGCCAACAGTGTGCAAGGAGATTCAGTCACATAGAAAGCCTTAAAGTCCACATGAGCGTCCACACTGGAGAAAAGCCCTTCATCTGTCAACAATGTGGAAAGGGTTTTACTCAGTCAGAACGCCTGAAAGTCCACATAAGAATTCACACCGGAGAGAAACCTTACGTTTGCCTTAAGTGCGCAAAGAGTTTTACACAGAAAGGAACCCTAAAAATCCACATGAGAACTCATTCTGGAGATAAATCTTTCACCTGCTAAATATGTGGGAAAAGTTTTCCTCTGAAACTAAACCTTCAAGCCCACATGAGGACTCACAGCAGAGAGAAGCGGTTTCCATGTGATCAGTGTGGAAAGAGCTTCACAACAAAACAAGAACATTCACATGAACATTTACATTTATTCATTTTCCGCCGCTTTTCCGGGGCCGGGTCGCGGGGGCAGCAGTCTTAGGAGAGAACCCCAGACTTCCCTCTCCCCAGACACTTCCTCCAGGGCAATCCCAAGGCGGTTCCAGGCCAGCTGAGAGGCGTGTCCTGGGTTTCCCCGAGGCCTCCTCCCAGTAGGACATGCCTGGAACACCTCTCTAGGTAGGCGTCCAGGAGGCATCCAAAACAGATGCCCAAGCCACTTCAGCTGAGTTCTCTCGATGTGGAGGAGCAGGGGATCTACTCCGAGCTTCTCCCAAGTGTCAGAGCTCCTCACCCTGTCTATAAGGGTGCGCCCTGCCACGCCTTCGAAGGAAACTCATTTCGGCCGCTTGTTTCCGAGATCTTGTCCTTTCAGTCATGACCATAGGTGAGAGTAGGAACATAGATTGACCGGTAAATCGAAAGCTTTGCCTTTCGGCCCTGCTCCTTCTTTAACACAACAGACTGGTACATCGACGCATTACTGCTGCCGCTGCACCAATCCGCCTGTCAATCTCATGTTCTATCCTTCCCTCACTCATGAACAAAACCCCGAGATACTTAAACTCCTCTACCTGGGGTAAGGGCTTTCCTCCAACCTGGAGATGGCAAACCACCTTTCTCCGGTGGAGCACTAAGGACTCGGACTTGAAGGTGCTGATTCTCGGCCGTACTTAGCCCGTAGGAGCAGGACCATCCTCCCGCAAGCCCACCACCTGCAGGGTGAGCCATAAGGGGCCAGTTTATTGTGGAACGGGTCATGGTCGAAGGTTAGGACTTGAAGATGCTGATTCTTGGCCGTACTTAGCCCGTAGGAGCGGGACCATCCTCCCGCAAGCCCACCACCTGCAGGGGGAGCCATAAGGGGCCAGTTTATTGTGGAACGGGTGGTGGTTGAAGGTTAGGACCACAACAACTGCTGGAGATTGTAAATGACGGCAGCCTTAGGGTCTGTTCACATATTGCATCTTTTCTGCCTTAAAGTTTGTCATTTCCAATTAAAGCGTGCGACTTGTGTCCGTAAATTTGGAGCACTGCCTCATTCAAGCCGATAGTGCCGCAAGATGTCTAAGCGCATCTTTGCATTGACTTAAGGTGTAAATCCCTCATGCTTGATTCATCCACATCTGGTGTGAATACACATTTACTCTAGCAACAGCAATTATTATTTTAGAAGTGCACTAAGCGACTTTCTTCCCCCTGACAAGTTTTTAAGGTGATCTGTGTTTTAGGTGTAACACAGTAAGGGAAGCTCTAGCATCTACCTGAAAGAGTTCTAAGACTTCTGGGTCTCCTGGGTTTGAAAAACAAATGCAGAACGTATCGTATGTAAAAAATAAAGGCATCAGACATCATGTAAAAAGAAAGAGGTATACACAGGGCCGGCGCTTCCATAGAGGCGACCTAGGCGGCCGCCTAGGGCGGCAGAATAGAGAGGGCGGCGTCCCCGAAACTACCCTCACCACCCGCGCCCTCATCCGCGTCTAGGGTGGCAGAATAAAGAGAACGGCGTCCCCGAAACTACCCTCGCCACCCGCGCCTTAGTTATATCCACGTCTAGGGCGACAGAATAGAGAGGGCGGCGTCCCCTAAACTACCCTCACCACCCGTGCCTCAGTTATATCCACGTCTAGGGCGGCAGAATAGAGAGGGCGGTATCCCCTAAACTACCCTCGCCTCAGTTATAGCCGCGTCTAGGGCGGCAGAATAGACCCCCCCCCCCAGCTTGCTCCGGCCCTGGGTATACAATTTCTTTATCAAAGCATGCCACACTGTCGATCTGGAGGAAGGCATACATGCGTGTTGTTAAAATTAGGTGCTGATAAAACATGAACATATTAAGAAAAAAAATGTTTTTTTTTGTTGTTTAAAAGCAGAGTTCTGTTATATTTAGATGAAAATTATCAAAAATTCTGGCAGTGGCTGGCAACTTAAAAACATGTGTGGTGAAGATTTTAAGAACTCTCTCACAAAGCCCTAATTCTTCAAAAAGTCTTGTGGGGCCAGAGGTTGAGAATGAGATAGAGTTGTGATTGGGCAAAAAAGTTAAGCCCGAAACAATTTAGCCCGAGCCCGACTAGTACATTTTGATTGACAGCTCTTTCGAAGCCCGAACCCGTTTATAGCCTGACATTATTTAAATGTGCACATGCACACAGCTCTTTTGCCTTTTATCAAGAATGAGTCATGTTTTATAGTTTATTCATAACAAACATAAGCTGTAAGCCACTTAGAAGTTGAAACAAAGAATTAAAAGTCTTCTGTAATGCTGTGTTCACACCAGACGCGGAACGCGTGGATAAATCGCGCTATTCGTGCGTAAATAGCCGCGTGAACATTTGAGTTTACTTGCTTTATTCATGCGTCGAACCCCGCTTCATTCGCGTGTCAAATTCACTTCAGAACAGATGCGGATTCGCGTGATGGGCAGGGCTTCTGTCTGCCCGAAGACTCTAGCTTCATAGCTAAATGGCTAATATGGATTTGATGAAGAAAATAACAGTGTTTATGCGCTTTATAAAGACTGAAAAACAGAGTCGATACGTTTAGGGTCGTGTCTGAGTCCACTACATCCTTTCAGAGGTGCATCCAGCTCTGTGAGCTCAAACTCCTCCAGAAACGTAACCTGGATGACGGAGGCTTTCAGCGGTGCTTCTGACTGAGCCAAGCCCAGTTTGATAAACTGTTGTCGGTGAAGGCTGAAGGATTTCCTTCAGAACACCGACAACAGGTTCTACGTCACAATCACGCCCCCACAAGAGCAAGCTTCTGATTGGTTAACGCGGCGCGAATGTACGCTGAAGTTCAGATTTTCGAATTCGAGAGATTCGCGCGAAACGCTCGTTAACCCCGTCAAACGCGCGAAACGCTCAATTCGCCTCGCGCAATTTGCGTCATTCACGCCGCAGGATGTCTATTCGCGCGTTTGCATTGACGTAACATGTAAATCACTCGCGCTTGACGCACATGCCACGTCTGGTGTGAACGCAGCATTACATCTCAGCTCTAAGTTGCTTTCACACTAGCATTTCAGTACGCACCCGGGTTTGTTTGACGGGAACGTATCTTCCAAACTTGTGAGAACCGTACCAGAGTCCGCCTGAAAGAGGTGATCTAGGGTACGGTTCACTTCTGATATGAATGCAATCGTACCAAATAACGGAAGCGAACCGCCAACTGTACAACTATCATTTTCATAACGTTTGTTTGCGCGTGTGTGTCTGTGTATCACTTACTATACCTTGGAGACAAGCGGGACTGAGCCAGGGCAAACAGAGATAATGTCTGCTTGACTCCTCCAAAAACAGCTTCTGCAGACATCGTGTTATGTTCTGAACGTTTATAGTATTTTTGCAGCAGATGGATTCGAGTCGATTTCTGCATGTCTAAAACCAAAAGACTCAGTAAAAGCCAAACGACCGCAATTTCAGCCCATGTCTTTCTATTTTGGCGCTTCGCTTTTGTGTCCATCATTTAGCAACAGCTGTACACACAACAGCAAGCGTACCGGGGCTCAGAAGGAAAAACGACGTTGTGAACACAAACAAGAAGGTGGCAAGGGGGAACAATCACTGAAAATAGAGTTGGAATAAACAGGTTGTTGTTACACAGATTCCCCACGAATCAAACTGAAGTACAGAGAGATCATGTTTTGGGTCTCACTGATTCAGTTCCATTGAGGCAGAGTTTCAAAGCGTCCAAAATTGAACTTTGGAACGCATCATGCACATGAATGGAAGTCAATGCGCCAAAAAGTGCAGCGTGACCACGGATTTACAATCAAACCCTAATCAAACACAACCTACCTGTAGCTATGAAGTGATCTTAAAGCATTGGATATACCTTAATCAGCTTCCTTGTTCAGTAATCACTAATAAGGATATAAGCCATTTTAAGTGCCGTCTCGATCATACGTTTTTTTTTTTATATTACACTCAAACGTTCAAGCCCTGAAAAGTCTCACAATGCATCAATCAGGGCACGTCGATAAGTTAGATGTTACAAACATTTATACGTGCTTAATGGTTGAAATGTTGCTGTTGCATGAAGCGGTCAAATCATTCAGCTTTAATGTACTTTTTAAAAAGTCATTAAATTAATATATGACAAGTATTACTTCTGCCGTTGCTTACAAGCTCTAGTTTTGATGGTGTACGATGAGGATGTTCTCATGTCTCACTCAGTGTGTCCCATTGTACACTGCCTGACAGAAGTCTTGTCGTTGATTCCCATTTTAAAAGCAGCAGATAACACCTTGTTTTTTTGTTGATCATTTGGAAAAGTGGCAGATGAATAATTTTTTTGATGAATAATCTGTTGAACTGCATCCCGATCATCACAAATACTGCAGAAGACCTACTGGAACCTGCATGGACCTTAGATTTACCTAGAAATCAGTCAAGTTTGGTGAAGGAAAAATCATGGTTAGGGTTACATTCAGTATGGAGAGATCTGCAGAGTGGATGATCAACATCAACAGCCTGAGGTATCAAGACATTTGTGCTGCCCACTGAATTACAAACCACAGCAGAGGGCAAATTCTTCAGCAGGATAGCACTGCTCCTCATACTTTAGCCTCCATATCAAAGCTCCTGAAAGCAAAGGAGGTCAAGATGCTCCAGGATTGGCCAGCCCAGTCACCAGAAATGAACATTGAGCATGTCTGGGGTAAGATTGTAACGACCGGGGGGAGTGACAGAGACAACTGGAGGTAAGATCCAATATGAGGGTTTATTCAGCGTCAGGCAAGCAAAGATCAATCAGGTACAAACGGATATGTGTAGGCAAATCCAGAATCGTAGGCATAGAAACAGGCAACAGGTCGAAAGGCAGGCGGCTAATCAGGAGAACACGGATAAACAAGGCTAAGATCTAAACAAGACAGGGAAAACGCTTCGTAATGCTACTGGTACAGCTAACAAGACTCGACAAACTGGAAGAGTGGATGTGTGGCTTAAGTAGGGCGTGTATCAGTCTCTAACAAGGTGCAGCTGGTGAGAGTGTAATCAAGCTAGATGAGTGAGCATGGGTGTAGGCGAAGAGCATGTATGAATATGTAGTCCAGGAGAAGGCGGAAGTGTAGTCCATAGAGTTCGTGTGAGAACCAGCGATCTCTGAGAGCGATCGCTGGTTATGTGACAAAGATAAAGGAGGAGGCATTGAAGATAAATCCAAAGAATCTTGATGAACTCTAGAAGTCCTGCAAGAACGCTTTCTTTGCCATTCCAGATGACTTTATTAATACGTTATTGGAGGCATTGGAGAGATGTATGCATGCAGTCCTCCAAGCGCATGATAGAGTCTGACACACTATTCATTCTTTCTCCACTGCACTATGACTTTATATTCTATACTGGACATCGTTTCTGTTAAGTGACAAGACCTTATTGTCCTAATTAAATGATTAAAATTCAGGGCATGATCATATTTTATTTTGGTCAAATACTTGTAATCTAGAGGCCTTTGCCTTTCATATGAGCCACTTCTAATACAAAATGATCAACTAGAAGTCGAGATACTATTTGTTGTTCCTAAAACTCCATTAGGTGACAAGACTTCTGTCAGGTAGTGTATGATGACCCAAGTTTACTGACACCTGAATTTGAAATGTCTAGAGCAGTGGGTCACAAGAATTAAGAACGGCAATGACACAATTTGAATGCAATCGAGTCCCAATCACAAAGAAACAGAACCATCATCAACACCATTTATCTACTTAAAGACAGTTTGACAACACTGTGTATTTATTTGTCCAAGTATATGTTCTTAAAATCTAAAGCAGGGGTCACTAACCCTGTTCCTGGAGAGCTACCTTCCTGCAGAATTCAGTCCCAACACTGATCAAACACACCTGAACCAATTAATTGTACCCAAAGCAGCACTTGATAATTACAAACAGGTGTGTTTGGTCAGGGTTGCAACTGAAATGTGCAGGAAGGTAGCTCTCCAGGAACAGGGTTGGTGACCCCTGATCTAAAGTATAAAAAAAAAAAAAAATTATAAAATTGTTCACAGGATAAATATAGAATCCTAAAGAGTAAACCAATAATAACAAAATAGGAAAGTTATATATTAAAACATACAAATAATAAGAAAACAAAGAATCTTGTCCAAACACTAGTCTGTACATTCTCTCACTGTATTGAATAAACCAGTATTTCCCAACCCTGTTCCTGAAGGCACACCAAGAGTCCACATTTTTAACCTCTCCCTAATCAAACACCCCTGAATCAACTCATCAGAACATTAGAAAAACTCCAAAACCTGAAGTCAGTGGGTCAGATAAGGAAGATTTTCAAAATATGTACTGCTGGTGTGCCTAGAGCAGGGGTGGGCAAACTCGGTCCTGGAGGGCCGGTGTCCTGCACAGTTTAGCTCCAGCTCTACTCAGACACACCTGAACAAGCTAATTAAGCTCTTACTAGGTACACTTGAAACATCCAGGCAGGTGTGTTAAGGCAAGTTGGAGCTAAACCCTGCAGGGACACCAGCCCTCCATGACCAGGATTGGTGACCCCTAATATAGAGTCTAGAATAGGAGCATTTTTATGAGAGAACACACAAGAAAATAGTATGTAGAATAGTAAAAAGGAAATTCCCTCATAGTAACATTAAACACAGATTGAACATAGATTGA